GGAATTTATGCCATGCAATCTAATAGTGCAATTACAGGTGCAATAATATGCAGTAATAATAGGTGCAATGACACCGCAAAACTACTCATACACTCACTTGTTATCTCTCGTCTTGACTATTATAACTCCCTCCTCATTGGCCTTCCACTACACAGGATATCCTCCCTTCAGTCTATCATGAATGCAGCTGCCAGACTCATCCACTTGACCAACCGCTCAGTGTCTGCAACCCCCCTCTGCCAATCCCTGCACTGGCTTCCACTCGCCCAGAGGATAAAATTCAAAATATTAAAAGTCACTCATAAAGCCATCCACAACTCTGCCCCCGGATATAGCTCAGACCTTGTCTCAAAATAATAATAATAATAATAATAGAGCTTGTCTTGTACTGAGTTATACCGCTGTAAGAGCTACATATTCTGTATCACCTTTTAAAAATGTTTTTAATAAAAATAATTTGGAAACAAAAATCCCATTTCTTTTTCACGTTTTTATTACACAGTAAAGAATACAACAATACCTGAATCATACCTTAAAGATTCACAGGTTGACAGACCATACAATACAGTCCAACTAAAGAAAAAGAATAAACAAGAACCCACATTTCAGACATAGTAGACTTAAAAGCTCAAGATTATGCCGATGAAAGCATGATGTCTATCCCCTTTGCACCCAGTGTTAGTCTACCATCCACTTGTGGTACATGTCTGAATTAAGTATTGCACAACAACTTTTTATTTTTTTATTTTCACAATAACGTTGCAGAACCCAAAATAAAATAATGATCTTTTATTCTTTGAAAAAGTACTTTCAGATCTGCATTTCAACAGTCTCCAATTTGTTTTACTGTCCTTTGAAGAGTTCGGACAACACAGAGTCACTTTTGCCCACCCCACCCTAACTTTAAGTATTCCAGACTTCGGCATGCTTTGCATTAGTAAACCAGCCTTGTATTTTAAATCCCCAAGACATGCACCTACACAAAATTAAAGCTTAAAAATCTGAGAAAATTAAAACTAAGAAAACAAGACAACAGGCAACCCTGTCACACAGCCCTGTGACAGGGTTAGAGACAGGTTGGGAGGAAGTAGAAAGAAGGGGCAAGAGCGAGGGTGCCCTAAACCTATCAGCGACCACCATTTATATATCTCCAATGAAGCTAGCGTTTTCTTAGCTTTTAATGTATTATACCTACAAATTATATTCTCACGTAGCCTGCATATAAATGACAAGCAAAAAAGAAAAGTAACTTTTTTTTCTTTAAGTTAATGAGGTCTGCTTTGTTACCAAGAAGTGATATGGTTTGCAGCTGTATGAGCTTTGCTTTTGGTATCCTGTTTTTGTGCCCATTTGGTTTGTCTAGACCAGTTTTGATAGCTACTGGTGCAATATACATGCTGTCAGAGGTAGAGTGAAACTTTTTGCCACTGAGGAGTTTGTAGCAAAATAGGAGCAAAGAAAGAGAAGGAGGAAGAAGAGGAGATAGAGAGTGCTTAGAGTTGGGAGGAGGGGGGGAGTATCTGGTGTTAGTCAGGGTGCCCTGAATTATAGAAATTAGACAAATTGTTACTAACCCATGTTCAACACAGAAAAAACAAGCTGCTCCATTACTGAACAGCTTACAATAATTGACAGATGACTTATAGATGGAACTTACTGTATTTTTTGGGGTTTGACCATTTCTTTCTACCCTAAATGCACAAGAGCTCCAATCGTAAGGGTTATCCAGTGTCATGTACAGACAAGAGTTCACTGATAAATGTGTCTAATCTAGAAATGCATAGCCATTGCCATTTTTTAAGTACAAGACAGCTCATTAAGGTACCTTGGCAATGTCTCTGGGAGTCCCGCAGAAGCAGGTCAAAAAGCAACATTACAGTAGGTTTTGGAATGCGATGATATTGGAAGTGCAATATAGCAGTGTTGCACTTAAAAGCACCATAGCAATGAATGTAGGAGGACCAGTGCAAGGGTTATGATCTTTACTCTTATGGTAGAAGGGTTGCCAGAGACAGCACAGAGCCAGCCAAACATTATTTTCCTGATAGTAGCATATTCTTGTGTATAATAAAGGTCGAGGACTGTCTCCCTGCCTGTCAGTGTAAACTCTGTGCCTATACACCCAAAACCAAACTGCTAGCAGTGTAAAAAGACAGTTTTTCCTTCTTTTTTGTGGCTAAGTCCAATCTTGTAAGGGTTATACCAAGGTGAGGTAAGATGGAGGTAGAGCAAGGCAGTTGGCCTAGCAAGGGCAGGAAGTATAAATCCAGCCTTGAGTATAATAATGTGATGTCAAAGGGCATTACAATAGTATGGAAATGCATTTAGAGAAGCAACACCATAGTTATGGTTCCAGGAACACTATGGCAGCTTCATATTAAATGTAATGCAACTTTATTATGCTGATACAATTTGAAGCACCACAGAAACTGGGAAAATTCTGGATTTCAAATGAGATGAAGAAAAACATTTTTATATGTTATGGTAATAAGAAAGCTACGGTCCTGGCAATAAGCACTATTGCAAGACATATTGGCTTGCTATGGTAATGCATCTCAGAGCCCTAGGACGTCAAACTTGGGTTTACCATGACACAAAAGTGATTTCTAGGGTCTACAGTATTGTGCATTACACATTTTGTAGCTTTCTATGGATACTTGACTGATCAGGGGTTTTAAACCTTAATAGCTGTCACTGTATGCCCTTTCATTTTTATTTTATGACCTATAGTATTGACTAAATTGATTACAATTTGTGAGGAAAATAATATATGGTAATAAATAAATTCTGAATTCCAGCATGACATCCTGGAATACATGTAATAAAGCACCTCTCTTACATTTTGCAGAGTAGTCATTATGCCCCATACACTCTTCTGCCTAACACTCATTTTGGCTGAGATTGAAGCAAAATGCAAATATCTCCACTGTTGCTGGGAAAAGATTAAATAGGCCGGGAGGTGGGAAGGGGTTATGGTGGTAACACTGTATTTTCTACTTCGCCCAGGAGTCTGTTACTATGTTATTGAGTAAAGGTATGACGTGAAAGTACAAACCAGGCCACAATTTGATTTACAGTGTGACTGTTACTATTTGGCTTTGCTCTTTGGAGAAATAAAGTTTAGCCTTAAAGTAGATCTAAACCTTAACTGGATGACCTTCAGGTTTCAAAAGCACTGTGCATTACACAATATTGATGTATTTTATTTATTAAAATACTGTTTTCATTTTTTTCATCATTTTTTTAAATCTTAGTGGTGATCTCCTCCACCTTCTTTTAGCCATTCCTGTCTACATGCACTCGTTCCAACATCACCTAGACATCATTGGTTTGGCTTGGTTTCCTTATAGTGACAACTGCACCCCATGCCAGCGCATTGTGTGCAAGGCCGCTTGTATCCTCCATCTGGAGCGCATGTGGCAGGGTGATAATGCCAAAGCACAGTTGGGAAACAGTTGTCACCCCATAACAGGAACTGCCTGAACAAGGACCTTCATGTCAGGATCACCAGGTATTCTTTTAAAGAGAGCTACATATTAAATAAACATTAAAAAACAACTAAAATTGCATTAACACGTTAAAGCTTATATAAACTTTGAGTGACTGAGGTTTAGATCTGCTTTAGGCTTACTTTAAATATTTTCCTGTCTAAGCTTAAATAATGATGATTATCTGTAAATTCTTGTCTGGACACTGGACAACAAATGGGTCAATAAATTTACACTAAACCTTATTTGACAAGTTTTATCGTCTGATCTTTTGGAATATTAGTATGGGTACTTAAAAAAAAAAAAAAATATTTTGGTCCTTAAGATCAGTCTTTGGCTGACTTCCCTTTATGCAGAATACTGTATGACCTGACATTCAGCAGTTAAAGCAGTCAATCTACACCTCAGCATTTGGAAATCTAATTTGTCATCATAAAAATTAGAAACAATGTCTTACAGCAATACACATGCACTGCCTTTTTAACATTTAGGTGACATTTTGTTTTTGCTTTTTTTTTTTGTAAAAAAAAATCCCTATTTGTGAATCTTAAAAGAATGCAAAAACTAGAAAAAAAAATGAAAAAATACAAAATCCACTATGGTTTTATGCAAACAACAGATCGTTGATGTGGTTCTAGAGTATTTAAAAAGGAGATTGCCAAAATAATGCATGCCTAGGGAATCATTATGACAGTGCAAAAATACATTTATGTACATCCCTCCTACAAAAACACTGATAGGTTAGCATTCCGTGAAGCATGCTAGTTTTAGGACATAAAAAAATCATATAACAGAGTGAATTAGCAGCTCCGGTAGATAGCGTAAAATTTTCCTTTTTCTGAAGATGAAATCAAAAGGGCTGTTTGTAACTACTAGAGAAGTATCACTTACATATACAGTTATAAAAGCAGCATAGAAAGAGACAGTTTTATCTCACCAGCTAAGAATAAAGAGATTAAATGTGGGCATGGTTAAAACTACAATGCATATTCACATTTGTCCATCACATTTACAAGAAAAAACACCATTGGGGAACCTCACAGGACAGGGGTGTTTTAAACACCGAGAGAACTACTAGTTTTCTTTTAAAGTGAAAGAGTATGGGATGAAAAAATCTTTTTTTTCTTTTTTCTTTTTTTTTTTGAAATGCGGGCTGGAGCTGAAGCCACTATGTATACATATTTTTTTAATTGTTTTGTTGCTTTGATTAAAAAAAATATTAGAATAGACCCGATTGTCTCTGTGGAACTTTGCAAAAGTGATTAAACTTTGAAAAGTTTTTTTTTTGTTTATTTTTTTTTGGGGCAACTGCTTGGTGTCATGATTGCCAGCTTGCTACTTAATGATACGATGAGACCGTCCCTTAATAAAGGAAGCCTTTCCATGATGGTATTTCGCTGCTGCTGTAATCACACAACCCACTGCAAATCATCTTATGTATTGTTGACCTGAATATTATTGTACTTAAGAAGAACATGTGCGTTCCCTTCCAATCTGTTGCACATATGCAGGTTTTTGTAGCGGGTCTTCAAATATCAGTCCGTTTCCCGTGGACGCCATTCGTTATCTTGTTAAATGTCTACTGCTGTTTCTGACTCTCATGCCCTTAAGGAGGTTTTGTCACCGTTTCCTTTTTCCTTCATCGCTAGATAGAACAATGTGATTTTGTTTTTCACGTTAGCATTTTTCATTTTTTTTGCTCTCAACAGCAGTTAGCAATCTCTTGGTTCGCTGTTTGGTAAAGCATCTGTTAATGAGGTCATCTAGTTTAAAATCCCAGCTACTGAAAAATATCAGGGAGGAGGTCAATTTTAACATTGTTATATTTTGTACTCTCAGTCTTCTAATGAAAAGATATCTTTGATTTCGGTAAGAAGTTATTGTGACCCGTTACTGGCCTTCACGTTTTTTTTATTACTACCTCAAGGTAAAAGTAGTTCATTGTTATTGTATCACTGAATTAGGATAGTTCACCTTTACATCTTTGAATATCTGAGTATGAGGACTTGGTTTCATTGAGTTTTTAAAGTTTTCAAAGAATTCAGTTTATCAGTATTTTTTTAACGGGCAGCTGTCTCTATGGTGGATGGTGTACCAGGAGTGGTAGACCGTGGCGTGGCTGCTGGTGGTGTGTCGATGGGGCTTCCTGTGCCACTACTGGGTGTAACCGATGAACTGACTGCTGGTGTCTCCCCCTGCTGTTGGGCTTGAAGAGTCTGTCCACAGATGTGATGGTGTTTCTCCCAGTCTTTGTGCTGACAAAAAGATCCGCAATACCGGGCGGTGTTGCAGCCGCTGCAAGTTTCACTCGCCTTCCGTCCGCAGTTCCAGCAACTCTGAAGAATAGAAAACAAGCAAAAATTCAGTTAGAATATTGTTACGGCTTAACTATATTCATTGCCTCAAAGAGTAACATTAAACCAACTGTAAATTATAAGCACAGGTGGAAAAAGTACAAAATGTGTTCTGAACACATGGTGAGACATTTGTGCAAATCCACTGAATTTGCCTTATTATAGTGAAATTGCAAAATGCTATGTAAACAATCTGCTCTGGTTTTTCAGCAGCAGATGACACAAAATGCTACCAGCAAAGGCATGTTCATGTTCAGAGGAAGAAAAAAAAACATCACTGCAAGTTGTTTTTTTCTTCTTTCAAGTGACTTAGTTTCAGGTCTATAAAATACATTTAAAATGTTATCATCTTTCAATCATCTCCCTAACTTCACTTAAAGTTTTCAAAGAGGATATGATAAAAGTAACGAGAAATGAAAGATGGAAAAGCATTGCTCTACTCTTTGTGTGAGGATGCACTTCATTGGAAAAAGATGAATCTTAGATGGGTTCCTTTGGTTCTAAGGGTCACTACTATCTGTCAGGAACATTTTATTATCATAAATGTAGTTGAGGTCTGAGAATAAAAAAAAAAGAATGTTTGGATGTCCACAAAAGGCTAGTTAAGGAATTCCAAAAGCATAAAGACCTAATTCTGATATAAAATTCCTTTGAATCCATTTAGAGCCTATTTTATTCTACCAAGAATTTATAATAATATAAATATTTAAAGGAGAACTCCAGGTTTCAGAAAAAATAACCCTTTCAGTGGGGTTACCCCCACACTGCAAGGGTTAACTAAACATTTTCCCCTAGGGGCTCAAATAAAGGAGAAATAATCACCCAATTTTTTTACATTAACAAATCAACATTTGAATATCAGATGCAAATTTCAGCATGGCTGTGCTGAAATAAAGGAGTTTAATTTTTATAATGAAAGGATACTTCAAATCTTAGAAAATTCTAGACATTTAAAAAATGGCAAGACATGAATATAATTTGATTTCCTTAAATAGAGCATCTGTATGTGCCTATAAAACTGTAGTATATTCAGACTTTCGAAAGTACTGGAAAGTTGGCCATGTGAAAATATGGGATCTGTCCAAAACGTACTGGCTCCATCAGATTAAAATCATATGTGGCTCCACTCAAAAGCATGGAATATACAGAATCAACCAGATAATTACAAATGCATGTGCAGGAATTTTTTTTATTTTCTTAAATTGTTCCCATCTTTAAAAAACACTTCAAAATATCTCAGGAAAGAAAAAAAAGTTTCCAAACACAGAAACAGATGTTTTTTGGTAGTTAAACGTTCAGGTTGTAGACTGGATGTCTGGCATCACCTGGTTTTAATTCAATCCTTCTGGTTCCAGGTTTGCGTTGTCTAAACTTAGCTGTGTTTCGGAGATGTCAAAACCTATTACTACACACTACAAATGGATTCAGGATATGTTTACTTTTACTACAGTGTAGTGTTTAAGATGACAAAGACACAACAATGGGCCTTTCTATTGACTTACTGGAAAGATTATAGTATAGAACTGGTACTTCTGCAAAAATATTTTATACTAGAGATATGTGTAAAAGAACATAATCTCTGTCAACAAAATAATGTTATATTTAAATGTGGAACTTTATATTTAAATGGTACTATATATTCAAAAGTAACTAGTCTTTTTATATTGTAAGCTCTCATGGGCAGGGCCCTCCTAACCATCTTGTCTTGAATTGCATTGTTTCTGTAATGTCCTCCTTATATTGTAGAGGGCTGCACAAACTGTTGGCACTATATAAATCCTGTATAATAATAATAACTAGATGATAAAGTGTTTGTGTTATTTATTAACAGTGACCAGGTCATTTCTCTGCTTCAACCTTTATTGTAAGCCTTAAAGACATTAGGTGTGACTCGGACATGTATGTACAAACCACCAATTTTTTTTAGCAGTTTAGAAAATAGTACTTGTTTCATGTGCTTGAGTATGTCTAACGCCTTCAGAACCTCAGTTTAGGTGAGGCATAGTCAGCAAACATTTCCTCAACGGTGCCTAGAGACATATAGACGGTCAAACATTGTGTATTCGTTTTCTGTGCCCAAATACCAGTGCTGGTAGTGTTCAGCGAGTGCTTTTTGGTGCCAAGCAAAAGACAAAAATAAACAATTCTGCATTCTTCTATATGTTCTAACACCTATCCTTAACCAAATCCTTAGACTTTTCATAACACTTAGGCTGGGTTCACACCTGGGCGTACGGAATACGGCACCGCTTCCACGCCCCCCGCAATCGGACGCGTGGCACAACTTTGCCAGCGTTGCGTTCCACTGCAAACGCAAAAAATAGAGCAAGCCCTATTTTTTGCGTTTGCAGTGGAACGCAATGCTGGCAAAGTCTTTCCACTCTTTGGATCGCACTGCGGGCGGGGGGCGTGGAAGCGGTGCCATTAAATTCAATGCACGCGCTTTCGGTGTGAACAAGGCCTAAAACAAACCTAAAACTTAACCTGAAACTTAGCTCCCTAAAACCAAAACATAATCTTGACTGCTGAAATACTTCATTTACTTAGTCCTATGCTGAATGAAAGTGAAAATGTGAAACATACAGACACAATATGACTTCCTTATATTACCAACATTTCTGTACATGGAGGTGAAGGAGATGGATCCTCGCTGCTATACTCATCCTAAGTCAAATGTGATAAGGCCTTAGTAAACAGGAGAAGCCCTGTGAATCTAGATGGCAGACCTTGCTAAGAGGAAAGTTGGCATGGGACCTATTATTTCTCACTCAGGTTCCACCCAACTCTCACTTTACTTCTTGCTAGGTATAGAAAGGGCACAGTTAACTCTTGCCAGAGGTTAAAAGTAGGAAAAATAATTTCTACTAAATCAAAATGATCATAATTAAATTGTGGTTTGAGCCCCAAAAACACACAGTTGTAATCATGAGACTCATTTTATGTGTTTTCAGTTTGTGAGGAGTAGAGTATTTATGTCACAGAATAAAGATCCAATTGAATGTGTACAACTACGTTCATCACTATTTGACTTGTTAACATCAAGAAGCCATGCCAATTAAGTGCCGGTTGTGTTTGATTCCTGCAATGGAGTGGTTTGCTTCCATTTCGACTCTCTTCCTGAGAAACTTTCAGATGTTGCAAATCAGTTCCTTTTGTCTTTGGGAACTCATCTGCTGTGCATTAAAATGAAACTCTGGGCATCCAGTGATCCAACTAGGGGCTTTCATCCTTAAAGAAATCTGCAACAAATTACATTCTAGCTCTATTAAGTCTCAGCAACACTTTGGCGCTGGAGCTGTGTGTCAGTTAATTCCTTGTACAGTTTTCCAAATGGAGTTTATAACCTATCCTTGTATGCCTAAAATAACAAAACAAGATAATCTGAGATTGAAGTGGTGCACAGTAGCTGATGGCTTTGCAGTATATGTGGTTGTAGAAAATACTTGATCACTGAGTGGGAATAATAAGTTGAAATGGTGTAATGATGCAAGGTGATGGCTGCGGCCTTGGGTAAGTTTGGTAATAATTTGATTTTTGTTTGGTCTACATTTGCATGGATTTTCTCTAGCAATCCAAAAACGTACTGACCAAATACATAGGAGTGTCTCTTGTTTTTTTATTTTGGTAGGGCTTAATAACATTAGATTTAATAGACCGTGATTGTATTTGTAAACAATAAAGCCCCAACTACACAAATTAAAGAAAGAAAGAGATCCAAAATGTATAAAATCAGCCATACTCAAGCTATAGTGATCATACATTAGGTGGCGATCTAGCCAAAAAGCCAAAATCTTCCCCTGCCAATGAACTGTAATACTTCTGTGGAAATGCTCTCATTAGGGATGAGTATTCTACTGGGGAAACATTTCCAAGATGCTTCCATAGACTGCAGCTTTCTGATAACATCAGCAACAGATGGTGGGGCACCATGATACATTGGCAAGGGTTTAACGTCTCTGAAGATCAAAATTATGAATGCCCTTGGAGTCAGCAATATTGATACATTGCTGAAAGTGGAACTTAACCCATATCTTTAAAATAACAACCAAAACACCTTTAGAAATGTTTAGTAATTACATTCTACAAACATATACTTCTAGATAATTGCCAGCTTTTTATTCTTTGCATATCTTATTTCTCCCCCAGTCTTCTGACAGTGGCCATGTTTACTAAGGGCAGATTACTAGCTCTCTTTTCACTTCCTGGCTTTCTGGCACATGTGACTAGACATGTGACTAGGACATGTGACCATGCTCATCATCCCAGGGTTGGAAAAGGCCTTTCCCTGAGATCTCGTGAGATTACAGATGAGATTTACCAGCAATGCTCTGCTGATGACAAGGCAATCCCAGTGTGGATTGCTTTGGCAAACTGAAGTCGTTTTGCCCTTTCAAAGCATGAAGGGAATGCTCTGCAAGTGTAAGTATTTCATAATCACAGTATTGTACACTTGACATGTCTATGTTATTATTAATCATCATACATAGAGGGATACATTGGTAGAATTTGATTTTTGAGTGTAAAGGTCCACTTTAGCCAACGCTACTTATATCCTGTATTCTTCAAGGAACAGATTTTAGTGTGGACTTACAAATTAAGGTGTCAACACATGGCAAGATTTTGGTCTAGTAAACTAGTATTCCATTATCGGGAGCTGTAAAAGGTCACATTAATTGCCAAAAAAGAGTGAGCAAGGAAGGCTGCATCAAGCCGCATCTTTACCTAACCACGCTATGCATCTATTATGTCAATAAAAGTGAATAAGATAGAATGTGATATGTGTGAGCAATAATCAGATTAAAGTATCCTTGTTTAGCTTATTGGGGTTGATTTACTAAAGGCAAATAGGCTGTTCACTTTGCAAGGAAATCTTCCCTTAGCTCAGTGAATGAGGTGAAGCTCTGCTGACTTCAATCATCCAATCATGTGCATGCAAAAATAATGTTTTTTTATTTCCCATGCTCATGATTGCGTATTCATTGCAAAGCTTATTGTCACCACATGTACTAGTCTAAGGGAAATTTTCTATACAAAATGCAAATTCCCTTGCACACTGAATGGCCTATTTGTAGTTTAGTAAATTAAACCCTTTGGCTTCTTACTTATGTGAATTGAGGAATGAACAGATACCTTTTCTTTCAATTATCTCACAGTTATTATTATTATTAATACATAGTATTTATATAGCGCCAACAGTTTGCGCAGCACTTTACAATATAAGGAAGACATTACAGTTACAATACAATTCAAGACAAGATGGTAAGGAGGGCCCTGCCCCTGAGGGCTTACAATCTAAAAGAGGAGGGGGAAATGATACATGAGGTAGCTGTGGTAGTGTGGGTAAGAGAGTTACATTTACAGTTACATTTATGACAAAATCTTACAGCGTTAAAAACAAGTTGTCAAGTCTGTTTGGTGTCGGTCACACAATACAATATAATGCTAGCCAAATGCAGTGTTTTCAGGCTCCGTACTGAAAACACCTACACAGAACTGGCTTTTGGAATAAAGCTGCATCATATAAAAAATAACAAAACACATTTCTTATTAGTTTTATGCGTGTTTTATGCATGAGCTGAAAGAACAAAGACGCATGCAAAAACATGCAGGTACACAGACAAAGATGAAAGGAAGAATCAACTTATACATAGCCAGCATGTCTATTATGTACAAGTAATGTGTTATGGATTACAATAATTACAGGCAGCGTCTGCAGCCAGAGAGAGGGGCATGATGATTATCTCTTATCCTGCCTGTTTATTTTGCTTGAAAAAAAAATAACAGACCACCAAATTGTAGAAAACCAGGGTCAGAATAGTAATGAGGAGGTCATTCACTAAACACAGAAGTAGCTTGTTCATATTGTTATCATTGAAAAATACAAATTGCTATTTGCACAAGACTTCTTTAAGTTCCGTCAGATTCTCAGAGGACCCAATGCACAAAAAATTATATTTGTAAACTCCCCTACACAAAGGTGTGATGTGAAAAAGAACATAAATGTATTTTTTTTAGCATTTGGTGTGTATTGGATTTTGATCATAACACCTCTGTCTATCATTGGAATCATCAAACACAAAGAATAAAGCTGTTGACACTTAGGCAGTTTGCTTTGCCCAATATTTCTTGACTTTAGGCAATCACATCTTCAGTAGATTTGGTTATTTACATGGTGACCAGATGTGACAAAAATGGGGAGAAGTAATCAAAAATTCAAAAGGGAGAATTTAGTTACTGTTGTATGATGTTTAACTACAATGGGGTTGAATCACTAAGGGCAAATAGGCTACGTTATAAGGGATGTGATATTTGGGGAATTTAGCACACATGGTGAGCGATTAAGGGCCAGTCACAAAGCCGTTTAAACAGAAAAAGGACAGTCTTTTACTTCTTTTGTAACAGAACAATGACTTTCTTCAGTAACAACATAAGGTTTGCTTGTCTTTCAACAATAGACAATATGACAGTGTCTCACCGACTCAAGGTTGTCACATATACTCCACGTGTCCTAGTCCCAGGACTTTTAGGGTTTTTCATCAGCAAGACTCCTCAGAAGTACACTTTACCCTTTAGCAGCTTTCCACACATCTCGTGTGACTCCTCCTTATATCCCTTGTGTGTCACTGGCTCACTAAGCCTCCTTGGCTGTCTCCCAGGTGCCTCCAGCACACACAGCCACCTGGCTCCACTCTGACTTCTGAGTGGTGAACTCCTGACTCCTGAACAGGTCTGTTCCTCTTCCCAGCATTAGCCAGCACCCTTTCCAAGAGGGCTGTGCTGGCCTAGGTGCTGGCCACTACTAAACAATGGACCCAGGAATGGAGATTTCATCCCTCCCAATTCTCTTTGAAATCTCCCAGTTCCAGGATCCCATGCCAAATCCAGGAAACCTGGGGAGAACTGCAAAGCCAATACTTTCCCAGCAAAAGAATTTGCTTCTTGGAACTGCTCAGCCCCTCTGGCTAAGAGTCCTGGGCAGCTACAACACCCGGTTCTACCAAGGGATTGCCACACAATACCACAGGGAATTTTCACTTTGCAAGGAAAATTTAGTCTTCGCTTAGTGAATGAGGTGAAAATTGACTTTACAAAGAATACCCAATCATGTGCGAAGAAAATAAAAACACAGCATTTTTATTTACACATGATTGTATAATAGAAGTCAGCAGAGCATCTGCTCTTTCACTAAGCTAGGTGCAAATTAATTTAGCAACAGCCTTTAGGAAATCAACCCTAAAGTCTTAATGCTTCTTATACTTTTCTTTAAGCAGACAGTCTAACAGGCCAGACCCATCCTTTAAATCCCTCCCTGAAATACCACAATGGGGAAGGACACCTCTGCCCAACCACAATATTGTGCAACGGATAATAGAAGAGATACAATTTATATTTGAATTCCTATTTTCTATCTGTTTGAATACTTGTTAGCTTTAACAATCAGTGGCCGCCTATACACAGGCCAATGAATATGGGATAAGGCCTTAAATTGCCTTTCTCTAATAGCTTTTATCTAATCCCCTAATAGTGGAATTCGGTGAGTTAATAAATGGAATACACAAAAACACATACTCCCATTATGTTTATGTAAAATACAAAAAATAAATAAAATATAATGGGGTTGATGTACTAAATGAGTACAGCACGCTCACTTTGCTGAGTGAACGTTCACTTTGCATAGATCAGCCAATCACACGCAAATCATTTTTTTTAATGTTTTTTTTTTGCTTGTACATGATTACATGAACTTTACCTCATTCACTAAGATAAGTGACAACTCACTTTTCAGAGGTAACATGCTCTTCTTTCACTAATTAGGAAAATCAATCCAAAGACATGCTGGAAGGTTAATTGGCTCCTGTCTAAATTGGCCCTCGTATGTACTCATGTGAGATAGGGACCTTGAATTGTAAGCTCCTTTAGGGCAGGGACTGATGTGAATGTGCAACTATGTAAAGCGCTGCATAAAAGTTTAGGCGCTATATACATACCAGAAATAAATAATGATAAAAATAAATATATGTTAATCACTTTGACTTCCAATCATGTTGTGTTTAACCACCTCCGGGCCGGCCGTAGTAAAAAAAACGCCGGCAGGAGCTCTCTAGATCTGAGCGGGCGTCTTTAGACGTCCGCTCAGACATGCCCCCTCGAGCGCGCCGCTGGGCGCGCGCGAGCGGGAAATGACCGCATGAGTTTTATTATAACTCCAAGATGCAATTCACGGTTTGATTCCTGCTATTTAATATTTGCACCCAATAAATAATTAAGCACACATATCTAAATTTGAGAACGTCTTACCTCACTTGAGTCTTCCTGCTGATTAATAACAGACAGCGCATCCTCTGCAGCTTGCCTCTTTGCTTCTGCCACTGTTCTTTCCATTTTTGCTCGTTCTGTAGTAATCATTTCATGGGCTTTTCTTTCTGCTTCAGACACTGCTTTCTGTAATTCTGTCATAGCCTGTCTTTTCACCTCGTTTACTGCTTCTTCTGTAAAATAAAAAAAAAATACAAGATTTTTGAAGATATGCACATTGTGATTGGGATCCAGAAAAAAAAGTGGAAAAAAGAAAGAACCTTATCTTGGCTATTTATGTGTATTGAGCGGTAATAGTGAAAGCCTGTCTGCTTCTCGACACTTGTAAAGGTAATTTCCCCCTCGAGGACAGTTTACAACAATAAACTAAAAGAAAGCTAACAATGGATTAAATGTGAGTTTCTTTATATTTCCTTTTTCAAAAATGACAAGGTCCTTTCTGTAAAATATACCTCTTACAAATTCATACATAATAAAATATGAGATATTTTTATTGTGGCTTTAGCCTATACATAGTGGGACCTTT